ACTGGTTTTCAAAAGTCAAAAACTAATTTAGTTAACGTTAATCTGTTCTGCTACTAGGGTTGGGCATAATCATATCGTTTGCAATTAATCGTCAGAAAAACATTAATTGATTATTTTTTGGTACTTGAGGATTAATATGATTAATGCCACCAGGCAGACTGACTGGATATTTTCCCACTTGGTGCTCCTCTCCTCTTCAAATATGACGAGAATAAAAAAGAAACAAAAATCTGTAATTTATTTATCTTTCAACACAATTTAAAAAAAATTGATGTATTGCCTGAAGTCTGTAACTTTGACAGTTTGGAACAGATTTTTATGAAGAGCAAATATTTCCCACTAAATTGGTCATGTGACCAGGACATGAAGATGAACAGGGACTCCAGGGGATTAATCATCAAATTAATCGTTATCAGCTAAATACCACAAATAATCCTGATTTTTTTTTTTGCCAATATCGCCCAACTCTATCTGCCACTTTAAGTTATCAGAATATTTGAACTAAACTGGATCCACCCTCATCATCATCATCATCATCATCCTCCTCCTCCATCAGGCTGATCCAACCCACAGCACCTTAAACCAGATGTCCTGGTCAGATAAGACTGAAGTGGACCTCAGTGACCTCCTGAGGGTCAGACGGACCAGGACTGAGCGGTACCAGAGCGTACCTGCGTGGTCTCGTTGAAGCCGGGCAGCCAGCCGATCTCAGACGGTCGCTCTTCGGCTCCGTTGCTGCAGCCGAGGGCCAGCAGCGCTCCTTTACTGACCAGCAGCATGTCTCCAACGTGCAGGTCGATGTCCTCTTCCCGCTCCTTCTTGTACTCGTACAGAGCTCGGTACTGAAAGCCCTCCGAGCTCATCCTGACGTCTCTTTGAGTATGGCTTCAGTCAGTAACAAAACAACAGCTCTGAGTAAAAAAAGACTAGAAAAATAGTTGTCTGTTGTCCTGAGGGGCTTCAGTGGGGAGAGTCGTGGCTGTGGAAATATGGCGTGTCCATCCGTTTGTGTGTCTCTCCTGTCTCCATGTCTGCTCCTGTCATCCCTCCAGGCAGATCCACTGACGCTCGCTCACACAGACACCTTCAGCCTTCATGGACACAAGTCTAAGAGGAGGAGGGGGCCGCATCTGTGGAGACCACCGCTGCACCTGCTGGACCTGCTGGACCTGAGAGACCAGAGGAGAGCAAACATTAATGATGAGCGAGGAGACGAGCTGCAGCTGAAACAGCTGAAACAGAAGCAGATCAGACTTCACTGAATTTAAATAATTTCCGTAGCAGAGCATCTATTTACCGACATGTTTCATCTCAAGATGTGAAAGACAGAAGAAGTGACTTCCTGTTGTGTATTTGACAGTTATGTTGGGTTTCCCCAGGAAGTCACTGAGCAGAAGTGATGAGCTGACAGATTAAAGGCACATTATGAACATTTAATCAGTTATCTTTGGTTTAATCATTAAAGTTAAGTATTTCATGTAAATGAGTGATTTTGTTTGGACTTTAAGTTGTTTGATGAAACAGTGTTAATATTTTGTTGTTTGGTTGAACACCAGTGTGTCTCCGTATTTTGCAGCTTTACAACTTAAAACAACAAACTGTGAAAAAATATCAATCTGTCAAAAATGTCTGCTAAACTTATTACATAAAAACCTTCAATTCAACAAAAACTCCTGATTTATGTTTATGTGAATAAAGAAAAACAGTAAATTAAAACTTGTTCACATCTGTAGTAAGTTTCAGACACAAATTAAACGTTGAGTTTTTAGCAGATCTTTAACTAAAAGCTTCAAAATACAGCAGTATATTATGTTTTCAATGATTTCTAAAAATCCTGTAAAACAATTTTATTT